CCATAGTGCGCCTGAAGTGCGCCTGTCGGAAGTCTCGTTGGCTCCTCCTGTGCGCGTGTAAGTCCGTATCCGCCAAAAAGCCCCGACCTTGAGCCCGATTGGGCTTTTATCCTTTGTTGGGCTCTCTTCTCGGTGTGCCCGAGCGCCTTCGTGTGCTCTGGGGTTGCCGACAAGTTGCAGCGCCCCGGTACCACGGCTTTCCCGAGCCTGTACCTGGGCTTGTTTGAGCCTTCGAAGAGTTTCCGTAAAAAGGCCTTTTTGTCGGGTACCGGGCCTTTTGCAGCGCCCTGGTACCGGGCCTTCTCCCGAACCTAGGTCCGGGCCTGTGCTCGTGTGGTCCCCACGCGAACGGTACCGGCCTTATAAAATTCTGCAGGGCCTGAACTCCAGGTTTAGTAATTCCATGGCCCGAGGCCCCCTTTCTCCAACCTCAGGCCCGCAACGCTTCTTAAGGCCTCACATATAGCCCAAACGCAACGGCCACGAGGGTGCTCTCGTAGTGCTTTCCCTTGATTTTGACCCGGCAGTGAATTCTGGTGTTACCGTCGCTTAACCCGCTCAAAGGCTCGTCTCAAGAGTCAGTGCCCCCCATTGTTTTGTTCATTGTCCCGTTCTTAATGTGAGCCCGGCCTTCTTGCTCTTATCGTTTACCAGGAACCTCCGACACTCCTCCTGGAGTAGCTGTCCCTTTATGTCTTGGCGATGACACACCTCAATAGTGTGCGTGACTGTGGCTCACTCGGAGCTCACGAGTCCTGCCCTTTTCTTAATCCCTCTGCCTCGATACTTGTCGTACGTATCTGACGTTATATCTTTTGACGTCGGCCGAGGCCCCGCCTGGCGAAACCACTGAATCCATTGCTTCTCAAGTGTTATAATCAAGGAAGTAAAGGGCGGCGGAAGGCTGGAGCCGCCCGACAGCAACGGCCCCCCCCATTCTCGACATCCCCTGCGAGCCATCTTGGTATATCAAGGGAAAGGAGAAGGAAGGATTGTCGACTCCTACTCTGTACCCATCAACCCAAGATTATCCTCACCGTTTCTGTCGGATCCTTCTCTCTTGCCTCTTTTTTTTGTCTGACGTTTTCTTAATCATCTTCTTTTTGACCCCTAATCGTTTCTTAGTTCTCCACCGTTTCCTCTCACGGCGGTGTTTGTTCTCTCCCTTATCTACGAGTCTACGACTACCACACTCTTAATGGCTTCCTTACCTTTGCGCTTCTTCTCTCGCCTTAGCGTAGCTGACTCTAAGACCTTTCGCCTTTTTTTCTTCGTGTCCTTCCTTCGGCTATTTCGGACGCCTAAGCCCTTTTCTCGCCTCTTTTTCACGGGTCCCTTAGAGGGTTCCCCTACCTCATAGGTGGATGACTTATGCCCCTTCGTGGGTTCTACCATTGGCCTTTCCGAAGGTTTCACTAGCTTCTCATCAACCTTCTCCTTCCCCTTACCCCTCTTCGAATCCAGGGTGACTTCTCTTTGTTCCTTAAATACTTTTAAGCGAGTCCCGAACACCGGCTCTTTCCATCTAGTTCCGTCTAATTCCTCAAGCAGGTAGGCCCCGCCTTCTAATCTCTTAACCACACGGTAGGGCCCCATCCATCTGTTTGCTAGTTTCCCTGTCTACGTTCTCTCCAGAGTGGAATCGTAGAGTAAAACTAGGCTCCCCGTAGGTATTCCCTCCGGCCTGACTCGAAGGTTTTTATCCCACCTTTCTTTCTCCTTCCCCCTTTGGTTTTTCAACTTTTCTATAGCGTCCAGGGTGCTATCCTCGAGCGTCTCAACTAGTTGCCTAATCCTAGCGCTCAATAGTTGCTCCCTAGTCGACACCTCTTCCCAGTCGATCTTCATCCAAGAATCCATATGAAATTCTATGGGTAAAGGGCAGTGCCTTCCGAATCATAAAGTGTAGGGCGGGTACCCGGTGGTCGATCGAACAGTAACGTTATCTGCCCAAACCGCGAATCTCAGGTACTTCGGCCACTTCTTCTCCCTCCCCTCACACCATTTGCCGAGCGCGTTTACTAGAGATTGGTATCCTCTTTCAACAGGGGCGTTAGTCTGGGGGCGATATGCGGTGAACAACGACACTCGAATTCCTGCTCTTTGGAGCAAACCCTGGACTTCCTTAGCCATGAACTCCGACCCCCTATCCATGACGATCTTCCCGACACATCCGTATCGGGTGATATATTCTGTTAGATACTCACTGACTGCTTTCCCAGTCTTCTGACGCAGCACCCATGCTTCTACGAACCCAATCAGGTCATCCCTGATATCCATGATGTAGTTCATTCCTCCTTCTCCCTTGGGCATCTTGACTAAGTCGACGTGAACCTTTTGTCCTACCGTTGTCGGATATGAAGGAAACAACGACTCTTTATACTTAACCATGACCCTCTTCTGACACTCCACGCACATCAGGCAGTAAGACTCCACGTCTCTATATAGACCGTCCCACCAGTAAAGGTGCCTGACCTTCTCAAAGGTCCCTTTTACTCCTCTATGCCCTCCAACGATACCATCGTGAAGTTCCGCTATTATATCTTTCTTCTCTTCCTCGTCGCAAACTACCCTCATCGGCATACCATTCTTAGGTGGTCTCTTAAAGACGTGACCCGCCTTAAGACAATATTGCTGAGCTTCCTTCCCGAGCTTGTTATCGGCCTCAATTTCCCCTATGAGGCATCACCCTATTCGATGGTACTTACTGGTGTAGAGATTCCCTAGGAACAGAGAGGCGCCACTGGTACTAGGCTCCATCTTTAATGAACCTATCTCCATTTGTAAAAACTTATCAACCCCTCCAGGCGACCCTTGATTCCCTTCTTCCGGCCGGATTAGCCCCAGATATCCGCTCCACCACATAATCAAACATCCTTATGTGCATGAGCCACCTAGTAATTGTAGGGTCTGTTAAAGAGAAGTTTTTTTGTAACACGACAGCCACCGCCGTTGGATCGACCCGCAATACGAACCTCCGTCCGTAGATATAATATCGGAAGACATTCAAACAATGCAGCACCCCGAGAACCTCTTTTTTAAACTGCGAGTAGTTTCTCTCGGTGGTGTTCAAGGTTTTACTCTCGAAGCTGAGAGGCCTTTCCTTACCGTCAGGGTCCTTTTGAGCCAAGACCCCACCAACGGAGGCTGGCCCCTCGTCTGTACACACAACAAATGATCGGTTCTCCTCATCCTCGAAACAAGGGACTCCTAGGACCTGACCTCCTTCCTTAAACTCGCCCTTTAATACTTTTACTGCATCTTTCTGTTACTCGTCCATTTCCACTTTATCCCTTTACGCAGCAGTCTCCTTAATGGCTCCGCCTTTTCAGCGTATCCTTTTATGAAATTCTTCCAGAACCCGACTACTCCTAAAAACTGGCGTACATCGGTAATATGTCGGAGCGGAGTAGGCCAGTTCATAAGTTTTTCTAGCTTTGCCGGGTCCGGCCGTCTGCCATCCTTGTCACAGATATAGCCCAATATTTTTATGGAGGATACCGCCTCCCTATTTTTTGTCCCACTCACCGTGAGATTCGCGTCTTCTAACTTCACTAGCACCTTCTTAATATCCTCAGCATGGGTTGCGACGAACTTCCTCACTCTGGGCCTCACCTCGGTTTCATCCTTCTCATACGGCCCTTTGATTGGAAAGTCGTCTAAGAGAACCTCCACCAAATTTGGTATAAGTTATCCCAACACTGTTACCATTGCTCTTTGAAAAACCGCGACCCCATTAGTCCATCCCATCGGTACCACCATCATCTGGATCAATCCTAATGGCGTGTGCATCGCAGTCAGGTGTCGGTCTCTGTAGTCAAGCGGGATCTCGTCGTAGCCTGAGAAAAGGTTGCATACTGAGTAAATCGAACGTCCGACTGACCCTTCGGATAGGAGATGCGCATTCGGAATGGACCCGACGTCTCTAACTGTACTTTTATTTGCTTTCTGGAGGTCTTGTATCCACCGCAACTTCCCATTTGACTTTCGTATGAATAACCATCTGTTTGCATAGGCACTTTCACACGGCTCGGCTACGAATGTCCCGATTTTCTCCTTCAGGAAGTCCACTATCATCTCTTTTTTCCACGGGACGTGCGGGACCGTATAGATCCTCACGGGTTTAGCATATCGCGGATCTATTCGCCCTCTCTCCGCGTCACAGAAGGCTACCGCCTTATCGCATGCCCTGAATGCCTCTATTATCAGTTCTCTCTCCTCCTCAGTTATATTCCCATTGCCTATATCCATCCATTTTAATCTATCTTCAATAATTCTCTGCCTCTTAGTGACCTTCTGTTTTCTGATAATCTGAGTTGTTTCCTCCTCAGTGATCCCTATCTCTCTGGTCCTGTCACGGCTAACCGCAACCGGTTTAACTTTTTGGGCTACGGTCTTGTATTTTTTCCTCCCGCCGTGTGGGGGGATTTCTCCAAAAAAGACAGATTTATGCACCCTCCGAACTCATCGTCGTCGCTCTCTTTTGGGTAAGCTGTCCCGTCTACTACATACTTGCCCTCTAGATCTTCTACTTCAATCCTTCTCCCTTTTACTCTATGAGGCCCTAGGGTGAGTTCTTCAGGGACCATATGGCAACTCCTCGTCATTAGCTGGCCTCTATTTTCCTGGGAAACCTTGTGATGTTTGTCAAATTCGTTCACAATCTTCAGGGTAACCCTGCTGCCTTCGGGCCCGTCTATGGTGACTGTCTGGCTCCCATCCCGCTTGTTCTCGGTGGTTGCATTGACATAAGTCAGCCATGTCCTCCTAAGGATTAGCTCCGATGAACAATACTCTACCGTGAAGACTGGCACGGTGACCTCGACTCCAGCTACTACGACCTTGGCCTTATGGCACACCCCAAGCGCCGGCTGCCTCAGCTTATTGGCGGATACCATAGTCAGCTATCGAGACTCCTGTCCACCTCCAGCCCAAGTTCTCGCGCTACCTTATCCTCACAGACGGTGGACTCGGATCCGTCATCCACTATAGCCTTCATCCTTACTCCGTTTACGATGGCGTTTTACTTCCCACTACCAAGGACGTAAAAGTAGTCGCCCTTGCCTCCAACGAGTTCTACTCCTTCCTTTCCTTTCTCAGCTATCAAGGCAGAGGTTTTCGCCTCCACCTTTGGGTCTCCAGAGATCGCCGTCTCCGCCAGCGGCACCTTAGCTTTCTGCATCATTCCTATCAGTTCATCTTTCGCCGGCTCACAGCCAGCTATGAATTCCTTGAGAGTGATAGGGATGGGCATATCCATTGCCCTTCTCAATGACTCCCTCAAATCAACCTCGTCCAACGAACTTTTTAGCTGTAACTTCTTGGCCCCTCTTTTCCTAGGGGACTGGGGCGACTTGGGCGACTCCACTTGCTCATTCGTCATCGGTTGATCCTGGTCCTCCCTCTTTCCGCTACTAGATTCTCCCACCCCTTGGCCGCATATATAAGCCTCTCTATCACTCATTGTTTCCTCAAACTTAATGGAGGAAATCCTCATCCCTGGACCCTCCAGTGGTTCACCTAACTCGTCTTTGAAAGTCACTCGGGAAACCTTTGCCGCCATCGGCACCTGCGCCTGTTTTCCCTTTGCTTCATTTATCCTTCTCCTTCGGATATCCACATTAATTTTCATCGAAGGCAGGAAGGGCACATGTTTCCCCTCATCAGCCCACATCACATATTTCCTATCATCTAATTCAATGATACCTTCCTTTAGCGCATCTAGCATTGCCTGACAATCCCTCTTGTTGTGATCCTCGTCTCCACAGTACATACACGTTTTATCATTCCAGGTCCGTCTCGGACTAGGATCTCCCTTCTCTCGGCCCTCTGGCCGCGGAGTACCCCGAACAGGAGGTTCCTCCCTTTTTCTGACTATTATTTTGCAGCTTTTCCATTGCCGCCTTTAAGACTTCTATCTCCTTCGCCATTTCCTCCTCACGTCTTTCTGGTTTCCACCTGTTATCCTTAGTGTTCGACCATTTGGAGGTCCCCCACTCTCCATCGTTCCTTTTCCAATCTCCTCGGTTTCCCTTCCTCCATTCGTCGTCGCCCCTAATAGGCTCCCCTTTCCTAGAGAGCTCGTACTGGTATCCCTGCCTTCGACTGTAGGTCTCCTATCTTCGGACTGAAGCCTTCCTCCTCTTCCCGTAGTCACTTCTTTCCCTAGGTTATCAAGAACTTTCAGGATATGAGCCTTTGCACTTTGCCCCTCCATGTCGTGGGCCAAGGCTCTGACTTGAGCAAACGTCACACCCTTTGAGGGAAGGTCCCGCACAATCGTCTCTCGCTTCACACGTAGTAGGGATCCTAGGAATATCCCGCACCTTTCTAGTTCTCCCATAAATCCTCCTTCCACCAGTGGGTTTGAGGCCTTTTCGTTTCTCCTCGCAAAAGCTACCAGACTCTCCTCTTCTTCTTTCTTCATCTCCTTCAGGTCTTCTACCGAATCTCGTCACAAGCAAAGATCCTGGTAACCCTCTCCCTAAATGTCAACCATCTATCATCGTGTGGAATGGCGTTTCTTACCTCTCTGTCTATTTTCGATGCTGTATGGTGGAGGAAATTCGCGATCATCTTTTGGTCGGTCCATTTGCCCCTTACCCCAATAACCTCCCAATCATCTAAGAACTCAGAGACGCTCTTTCCCGTGAAGATAGTTTGGATCCTGGTCAAAGCCGGTGGTTGATACACCGATCCAAAAAAAAGGGGCACATAAGACCCCGACGCATATGCCATAGTGTATGGGTTTCTCCGATTAGGCTCTCCAGGGGCCTCTCGCCACGGGTCCCTGACTCCAGGGTCCGAGAACCTTGTCGTTCTAGGCCTAGTTAAACCTCCTTCCTCCAACTTTCCCCTTTTACAGGTCGCCCTTCTAGTTCCTTCGCCCGAGCTTCCAATTCTCTTAAGCACCTTTCTAAGCTTTTCTGCGTCGCTTATGTTTTCCACACCCATTCTCCTTTTGGGACTATTCGTTTTTTACTCTTGCGTCTTTACAGATTCAAGCTGGAGAAATGGTCGAATTTTCTCTGCTCCTAGCGAAGTCAGATAAGTTCCCTTGGCTTCCATCCTTCTCCTCTATTCTTCTAATAGTCTACTCAAGGTTGCCGAAACTCTCTCTATTGAGCCTCTGGAACTTCCTGAAATGCTTCAAAGTCCTCGTCCTTCCCTTCAAGCCTAATAACCAAGGCGATAGTTAGAGTTGCTTGCGAGTAGCGAGAGTTAGCTTCTAGAGTTCTCAGGGAGACCCGGTCAACCACCACCTTAGAAAACTCTCCCAACTCCTTCGCGTCTTCCGTTAACTTCTCTTTTGACGCAGCTATGGTCTCCCTCCACGTTCGAAAGACCGTCTCTCCCTCGAATGGCGTAGTTTGAATCTCTAGTCTCGCCAAAAGAAATATGTCTGCCGCCTTCCAGATTACGCACTTTCTGGCCTCTATTGCTGGTTTCTTGAAGCACTCTGCTTCATCGTTGCCTCTACCCTAACTCATACCAGTAATCCTTCTATCTCAGCTCGCGCGCTCAATTGGTACTTCCCCCCCCTAGCTCGCCGCTAGCCACCTCTCTTTTCGGCTATTTCATCACGAATCTCTCTCACCTGCCTAACCAAGAAATCGTTCCTCCAGCTTACTATCCTCTCCTTCTCTTCCTTATAAATAGCCACAAGCCTCCCAACCTTTCTTTCAAGCTCGACTAGTCCTGGTTCGTCGGTTGAGTTCCACCAGCCCTGGTATTGGATCCAGAAACCGCTCCACGAGCGAGTTAATTTTCACGTCACTCCCTCTTACACACGAGATCGTGCTTCCTGGACGGTCTCATCTTTCTCCACTTTGTGTCTCAGCCATCTCTGTGACCATACCATTATGTCATAGGTTATCCGTCTTTCAATTACGACTAACGCAAGCAACCTCGGTTGCTCTCGTCCGATCACCTCTTCGACTAGTTGCCTACTGCTTCGTTCATCCAGGGATCTCGTTGACCTTATTCGAATAATCGACGTTATCCTTCCATCGAAAGACACCCTATTCACTTCCTCTTGATCAGTCACTGCTCCCGACATCGCTCTCGGTCTCAGTTCCAGTCTCAGCAGCGCTACTGACCGTCGGCTCACTGTCTTTAATCCTTCGTACAAATTCTATTTTTGCCTCCCATCCATTCCTTTGGAGCGCGGCCATGCTAGGCTGAGGTTTAGGTATCCCTTCAAAAGGCACTACATCCGTGCTCCAGACATGAATCCCACCATCTCTCTCCAACTCCTCTTCTCTTCCAGAACTATCCCAACTGCCCGCCATTTTTTCTTATATCTATCATTCGGCACATAGATCCGCGTGTCGTACTCGTCAAGATCAATGAAGTAACAGGTCAACACATAAAGGCATTCACCCCCCAACCCGAGCTTCTTCAAAACCTCGTACCTCGCGATTACGTAAGGGAAAACTTCTCTCGAGGCTAACTTGTTCAAGGAATCCAGAAGTCACTTTTCCTCCACACTACTCAATCTCCCAGCCCCGCTGCTTCGCGGAAACCAAGGCCGGAAGGGAAGGACCCCACTCATCGGATTTAATTCTTTACAACCCTCAAGATACCTATCAACCTTCCTCTGTCGTTTCTAATCTCATGCTCGCCCTCTATCCTAAACAGGCCTGTGTCAGGATACAACTCGCCTTCTAGCTCATTCAGACAAGCGGCTCCTCTCCTTATTTCAATCCTCCCAATTCTTGAACACCTTATCCTCCTGCAAATAGCGGTTCCCAACGTACACAGATCTTCCCAAGTCCGCATCCTCAGGAGTCGGTACAGATCATCGGACATCCTCCTATCAAGTTCTCGCCCTTCCCGAATTATGTTTCCGCCTCCTGGTCTACAGTCTCCTCCCTTGGCCATTGGCGGCCCAGTGGCGTAAAACGAACCCGATCACCACTTCTTGCTTTCCTTCTCTCAATGCTTCATAAGGAACCGGAGGTTTCGACAGTCGCTCAAAGGTCATTATCCTTGTACTCCATACGACATCCTTACCTATCGAAAGTAATTTATCCCTCTCATCTTCCACCACTTCTCTTGCCCTTTCCCAACATCGACCATAAACGAGGTCGATCTCTCTTTCGATTGGCAAGTAGATCCGCACGTCGTATACCCCAGTTCCGAGGAACCGCACACTCGTCACATAAAGGTGTAACTGCTCCCAACCGCCATTGACCGACTCATATGTCTCAACTTCGTCCGGAATCGGTTCTCTCCTTCCAAAAGAACTCAGCGATGCACAGACATCCTCAAATTTTTCTCTCAGTGGCCTGTTTTTTTAGAGGAACTTCTCTCTCCTCACTTCCAATTCTTCACCCGAGATCCTTTTCGCTTTACTCGTCACTTACCTCCTCCAGCATCTCACCCTGAGTACCATATTTATCATAGGCTCCCAGTTGCTCCCATCGAGGTAACTTTCAGGAATAGGCGGGCTAGGGGCAACGCGGTATTCTCTCGCCTTTAATCCCAGGGTAACCCGCTTCCCTTCTTTTTCCAACTTTCTCTTATAGGTGTACGCTATCGTCTCAGCTCAATTCTGACACCCTCACAATGCGCCTGTCAGTCTTCTCCCCTTCTGATTGTAAACCCCTATATCGTACTCGTTAGCTTCCACAAACTTAGTCACCAACACATAGACCTTTTCCTTTAATTCAATATTCACTATGGCGGTGAAGTATTCAATCACGTACGGAAAAGGTCCACCCAAAGTTAAGGGAGTCCAGTCTTTCAATAAGGCTTCAATGGCTGGATCACTAGACGACGACAATCCTCAGTTTACCCCTTCTTCCCAAGAGAGTCTACTTGTCAAGAGCTCAGTCATTTCTAGTCCTCAAGTCCATTCCGGTCACTGCCCTGACCACGACTCTCTGACACTCAGCGCAACCTTACCCGAGTTCCTGAATCACCCTAATTTATCCTCGGCGAAATCGTACGAGTCCTCCCACTTTCCAAGATTGTTTCTAGCGTCTTTCTACTCCGCTTGGTTCCATTCCTCCTCCCAGTATACTTCCTCTTCGTCTTCATAGACGCCTACCTTACGATAGTAAGAGCGCAACTTAAAGAAATCTAGGAGGGCTTGTTGGCTATCGAGGGGGTCAAATTCCCAAGTCTTGTATAACTCGGTTAAGCCGACTATGTAATAAGATGGTTCCTTAATAACTTTGTCAAGGAAGATCCAAAACTCGCTAGGTTGGTCCTCCGTCGGTGACTCCCCAGGTCCTCTGGGCGAGGCCGATTGGATTACCTCCACCAATTCCAAAGTTGAATCCCCAAACCCGGGTCCCGCCTTCCACAACGCGTAATAGCGTGGTGTGCGTCGCTATTCCACACGAAACACTCCAGTTCGAGGAAGGACCAGTGGATTCGGATCAACTAGTCCCCCCAAAAATTATTCTAGCACAAAGACGGGAACCGAAAGTCGCAATGCCTCCTCCGGGTATGGTAAAAACCCGTGCTCAGCCAACCTCAAGGAGACAATTATCGACCTGAATCCCTCCCCACAGCGAAGCTCTTCCTCCCGAAATCTCCCTACCTCGCTCTGAAGTATTTCCCGGGCCGTTCGGGCCAGGTGTAGATGTCTAGGCTTGGCACGATCCCTAGCTTCGGATCTTTCCAACCTTGCTCCAACGCTCTAAGGACAATATTTCCTAGTGCAGAAGTACGGTAGTATAGGAGACCCTCAACTGTTAGCATGGCCGACCCCGCTACTTTCCTTCCCCTCTTGTCGCGATCAAATTCGACCGAT